TGCATCATAGGGAATCCTATATAATAAAGAGGTAATATGCAAATTGAACATCTCTCCAACACACCAGATGGCCACCTCTTGTGGACACAAGATGGCCTGCAAGGGAGGGCATTTGAGGAGGACCAGGCCTGCAGGGGAGGGTAGTTGGGGGAGACCAGGCCGGCAGGGGAGGGCAGTTGAGGGTGACCAGGAAGGCAGGGGAGGGCAGATAGGGGTGACCAGGATGGCAGGGCAGGGCAAGTTTGGGGCAAGCATGCCGACAGGGGAGGGCAGTTGGGGGCAACCGGGCCGGCATGGGAGGGCAGTTGAGGATGACTGGCCCAGCAGGGGAGCAGTTAGGCGTCATTCAGCCTGGAAGGGGAGTGGTTAGGGGCAAGCACTTCAGCAGGGGAGCAGTTAGGCATCCATCAGGCTGGAAGGGGAGTTGTTAGAGGGTGAGCAGACTGGCAGGCAGAAGTGGTTAGGGGCAATCAGGCAGGAAAGCAGTTGGGAACCAGCAGTCCTGAATTGTGAGAAGGATGTCTGACTGCCCGGTGGGATCGGGCCTAAAAGGGCAGTCAGATATCTCCCAAGGGGTCCCAGATTGGACAGGGTGCAGTCTGGGCTGAAGGACACACACCCTTCTCCTGAGCACGAATGTCGTGCACCGGGCCTCTAGTATTGTAATAACTTTGTATGGTGTCAGGTGGATACTAGACTTATTGAAGGGATCACTTCATAAATTATAAATGTCTAACCACTATGCTGTACACCTGAAACTAATATAAAATAATATTGAATGTCAACCATATTGAAAATATTTTTAATTTAAAAATTAAATTTTATTCAAAGTAAATATCTTTACACCCCAAGTACTTCAGAGAGGCCCATTCACGTAACTCTCCCACACACCTCGTTGCTATAAATCTTATCTTGTCCTTTCTGAGACCTTGACCAACCCACCAGTCAACCCATTATCATTGTCCATGAATTACTGTGGATCCATACCTTAGGCCATCCCTCTTTCTCTGGGAAGGATTTTCCTTATTCACTGTCAAATCTCAGGGCCCCTCTAAACCAGGCTGTTAATGCAGCTCTTCTGGCTGGTGCCGGCATCATGCAAACCACTCCACAACACGATCTTGCTTTTTCCTCCTCTGTTCACTAACCATAAGCACTCCTTGTGACCCCGTTGGTGTGCGATGAAAGACAGACAGTAAAGCACGTACCCTAGGCATCTACCCACCTGGTTCTGCAGTTTATTTATGCTTTGCAGACCTTAAGGCCCAGTTTTGAACATATCATTTCTATCTAACATTGGGGTGCTTCTTGACAGGGCTCAGATAATATTTAATTGATGAGAAATTTAAATCTCATGAATTCAGTTTTTCAAAAGCTTATTAAAATTAATGTTACTAATACTTCTAATATGTGAAGCCTTTGGAAGTCTGAATCTCTGGTCTGTAGATTCTGCTGTCCTTAATTCATGGTGCCTTGTTGCCTTGCGTGTTTTCTGATCTGTGCATTTTTCTTGGAATTTTATCTGAGTAAATTAATTGAGTCCTGACCTCCAGAACTACCTCTTCATTTACGTCTGTCAGGTATCTTTGGCAGTACTGTTGGGACAACTTTAAACTAAATCATCAGCTGGATTTTATTTTTAATTCTTTATTGTTGAAAGTATTACATGTGTCTCCTTTTCCCCCCCATTGACCTCTCCCAGCCTGCCCCTGCCCTCCAGCACAGACAGGCCTTCACCCCCCTTTTATCTGCGTCCATAGGTTATGCTTATATGCACGCATACAAGTCCTTTGGTTGATCGGTTACCCTCCACCCTCCACCCTCCACCCTCCCCTGCCTTCCCTCTGAGGTTTGATGGTCTGTCTGATGCTACTATGTCTCTGGCTCTATTTTTGTTCATCACTGTATGTTGTTCATTATATTCCACAAATGAGTGAGATCATGTGATACCTATCTTTCTCCTACTGGCTTATTTCACTTAGCATAATATCAGCTGGATTTTTTCCCCCAGACCATTCATATACCATGAGTTTAGGCTAAGAGACTATATGAAAGCCAGCTTGCAGTTCTAAATTCTTAGTGGAGGTGTTTTTTCTACATACTGAGTACAAAGATTCAAGACCCGGCAACTGTCCTTGAAACATCTGGTGAAGGAGGAATGTTGTGTCTGTTTTATCTTACATAGCAAATGTAACACACTCAGGACTGAGGTTTATGTAGAAGTCTCCTACCACACTCAGTGTGGTAGGCACTGTCTCCTCTCCCCCACCTTCCACCTCTCCCCTGGCCAAAGCCATGGAAACCAAAGCTCAAGTTCACTTCATTCAGCAAATGCTTCAGTTAGTGCCCTCAGAAAAACACCTGGTTTCTCTTGACTATCATTCTTTGCTCTTCTTGCAAGGTCAAGAATGCCTAAGAAGTTGTTTTGTATCATTCAAGTAAGTTATTTTAGATTTAGATATTTCCATGGGAGGGGTAATTTGGGCTTTTAGACCATTATTCTTCCAGAAACAAAGGTCAGAACCAACACTCTTCTCCAGATCCTAAGCTTTGCTGTTGTGAGAAGATGGGTGGAAGCAAGGAAGAAAGAAGAAAATCATCATAGGATAAAATTATCACTCAATGCCTGAAACCAAAATGATGAAATGACCACTTTCTTAAATAAAGTCATGCTGGTCAGGCATGGGCTCATTCAGCAGAGCAAAGAGCTGAACTTATACAACATTTGGGGGAAGCATCTTCGAGGGGTGGTGTTGGTTACACATGTGGAGGTGGGTTGATGACAACTTAGAAGTGTGTACACTGAGGTGAACCCAGAGCCAACTGGCTGGCTTTCGAAGCATAATGCTGTCCTTGATAATTTGGTTTTCAGAAGTGTGTTCACTGAAGCAAGTTCTACTGGTCAATGTGAGAGGTTTAAAACCATTCGAGGAATTTACTTGTTATCATGGCTATAAAACTGCCGGTCTTTTTCTAGGAATGTGAAGAGTTTTTATTCTCACAAGAGAATAGAAACATCAGGGGAATGTATGAGACAAATGACAGAGGAACTCCAAAAGATAATGAAGAAGGAACAGCCCAAAAGTTAGGAGGAAAACAGATTTTTTGTAACAGAAGCCAACCAAGTTAAGGTTTTCAAGGATGGCCTTTCCTAAGGTGAAAATGCTCCTAAGAGGCAGAATA